CCCCCCCTCATTTCAATATCTAAATGTCCATTACGTTAACTGCATGATATCATTACAGGTTTGATCCACCAGGAGTGATGTCTGCTGGTCTGACATGTGACATGACTGTCACCTTCAAACCAATGGTAAGCCTTGATTTGATTGAATCATTTGACTGATCACATTATATTTATTGTCATTCTTTTCTCTATTTCGACAGCTTAACGAGGATTTAGAAGGCCAGATAGACTTCTTAGCTCAAACTGGTCCATTTTCTTTACCGATTAAATGTATGACCAAGAAATGTCAGGTAAGAAACAGAAATAATAAGCTTAAAAAGTGTGTGTGGGAAGGGAATGTTTGGATAGATTTTAGGTTATGATGACGATTATGGATGATTATGATGCTGGTGATGACGATGTTGGTGGTGATGTTGATGGTGATGATGACGATGATAGTGATAGTGATGATGGTGTTGGTGATGACGATGATGGTGTTGGTGATGATGATGATAGTGATGATGATGATGATAGTGATGCTGGTGATGATGATTTTGGTTGTGATGGTGATGATGATAATGTTGATAGTGATGATGATGGTGTTGGTGATGACGATGATGGTGTTGGTGATGATGATAGTGACGATGGTGATGATGATGATAGTGATGACGATGGTGATGATTGTAGTGATAATAGTGATGGTGATGATGGAAAATGATGCTGATGATGATGGTAGTGGTGATGACGATAATGATAGTAATGATGATGTTGTAATGGTGATGAATATCTAGACAGTGATGATATTTGTGAAGATAATGGTGATGAAGATGAATTTGCAAGTCATGGTAATCTGACTACTTTCATTAAGCTCAAATGGAAACTCAGTCTCATCATACATCGTTGATTGTACCATCTTTTCAGATATCAGTGGATGTGGTAGAGATTGATTTCTCTAATCAGGTTGTTGGTGAAACAAGGAGAAGACTAGTAACTATGAAAAATGACGGCGCCTTGGGCACGGACTTTGAGTTCAGGAAAATCACCGGTAACTATTCCATAGCCATAAATATTCCTTAGTAGACGATGCAACCAGAAAATAAAGAAACCATTGTTTAGGGTTCTTGTCGCCTGACATTAGACGAGATTACGTAATCGCAGTTTACGGCACAGTCACCGTACGGTATCTGTTAAACCAATCACAGCGCGCGAGATCACTGCTCATCCGTGATCAAATCGCCAGAGCACCGCGTATCCGGAGATAGGGATGCTTACTATTTAAACCAATCCATCCGGTTGGAAATTCATTCACTAACGTTAATAGAAGAGCGGGAAACTTTGACTTCCGACAAATGGTACACGCGTCTACCAGAAGAAACGAAAAGAGCGGGAAACTTTGACTTCCGACAAATGGTACAC